TATTTAAATATGGTTTATTTTTAGTATTTATAAAATGGATTAGTTTTAAATTTTTAACTTTTCTACTAGTCTATTTTTAATCTTTGTTATTAATTTTGTTAAAAATGAAAAATATTAATTAGTATACTTAAAGTAAAAAATATTTCAACTAAAGATAAATATATTTTTATAAATAATTTAATTAAATAATATATTTATTATCTAACGTATATCAATTATATTTTGATATAAATTTTCTTCTAGTATATCAATTATACAATCATGGTTAAATAATTAATAATAATAAAATAATAAATTTAAAAATTAGACTAAAAATAAAGTATTATAAATAAAATTGTAATAATTTGATTGAAATTGTAATTTTTTTTAATTAATTAAGTTAATGAGGAATTAAAATGTGATAATTTGATGTGTTCAATTTTTTTAATATAAATTTTTAAAATATAATTTTATTTAAATTGAAATTTTCAATTGAAAAATATATTAAAAAATATTTGTTATTAAACTTTTCTTAAACAATGTATTGAATAGTTAATATCACTCTAGTCTTAATTTATTACAATTTAATTTTTTAATAAATTTGATTTATTTTTAATAATATTTTTATTTTAGTAATTTAAAATTAAAGTTAATCTTCATTTTGTTAACACTGAGACCAAAGTTTATTTTTAAAGTATATTTTAAAAAATAAATTACTTTAACTTTTTTTTAAAAAATACTAAAGCAATTAAATTATATTATAAAAAAAATTTAAATATAATAAAAAAATAATGTTCATTAGTGACCGATTTCAATTCGGTCGCTATTTTCTCATTAGCGACCAATTTTAATTTGATCACTATTTTAATTTGTAATTCAGTTGTTGAATCAGTCGCTAAATGTTTTTTTTAGTATGAAATAACCATTGATTTAGTGACCGAAATTTTGTTACGCAAACTAATTATCGCTATTTCGGTCGTTAAATAAAAAAATGAAACCAAATCATATTTCAGTGACAAAATCGATTGCTAATTGCTATCGATTTAATTCAGTCGCTAAATTGCGACGAATTAAATTGGTCGCTAATTGCGACCGAATGAAATTAGTCGCTAAATTGATCGCTAATTGCGACCAAATGAAATCAATCATTAATTGCGACTGAATGTAGGGAAATGTTTCACATTTTCACCAACGTCATAAATTCAACTTGTCATTAATTCATCTTGAATGGTGTTGACTTGAATCATCATCAAAATCATTTCTTGGGAATGTAGGGACATTTCCATCAATCTCCCCCTCATTGTTTTTAATATCCCCCTTTTTGATGATGATCAAGGAAACACCTGAAATGAATTAAAATTCTTGACTCTATATAGCCAGCTCAAGATTAGCACGAATTTGTATCAAGTGTCAGAGTCTCTTAATCTCCGCCTGAATATATTAATAACAAGACTCCCCCTAACTCATATGAGCAAAGACTTCTCTTAACTCCCCTTGTTTAATTTAGATAGGAAAGAATTTCACACAGATTTTAATTCATCAAAAAATCTCCCCTGTTTCATTGATAATTATAAAAAATATTATAAGAAAAAATTTTCCCCTGTTTCACACAGATTAATATCATCAAAATATCTCTCTGTTTCATTGATAATTATGAAAAATATTGCAATAGAAACTGAGAACAAATTTGCACATATTAGTACATAAATCAAGGTAGAGAAGATAATGCATTACAAAGTGTTATAGAGAAGAACATCATATTAAGGAGACAATATCTAGGATACCCAAGACAAATGAAGAGAGAGAAAGATAGGGGAATAAAATGATTATAGAGATAATGGAATGAAATGCAGTAATTTCCATTTCTCATCAAAATACATGAGAAATGGAAGCGGATGGACAGAAAATAATTCAATGCATGTCTACTGCATTAGACACATTGCACAGAATTTTATGAGACGTTTCAAAAACATCGCACTGAGGAAAGATGTTGTAAATATGGGTAATTCCTTTGCTTCAAATTTGTTACAATTTATTCATTATTTAATTATTGCTAATAAATATTTATATTAACTATGTTTTTTTAATATTGTTATAGCGTATGGGATGACTGAACCACAATTCTACTATTATTACAACATCTTGAGGCAATGTGACATAAAAGCAGCTAATTGGTTGGATGAGATACCTAGAGAAAAATGGGCACTTGCATGGGACAATGGACGACGTTGGGGCCACATGACGACCAACATAGCAGAGTCTATCAACTCTGTTTTGAAAAAAACAAGAAATCTACTTATTTGCTCCATGGTCACCGCAACGTACACCCGTTGCAACAAATTTTTCATTGAAAGAGGGAGGCAGATATATGTCATGATTAATGCTGGTCATGTATACTCTGAAATTTTGGTCACAAATTTAGAGGAAGCACAAACACAGGCAAACATGCATAGGGTCATAACTTTTGACAGGTCTACCACAAAATTTGTAGTAGAAGAAACACAAAACTCGCGTGAAGTTCGACCAGTAGGGAAGTTTGCAGTTCACCTTGATGAGTTATGGTGTGACTGTGGGAAATTCCAAAAATTTCACATGCCTTGTTCACATGTTCTTGCTGCATGCAAGCATGCACACCATGACTTCAACAACTATATTAATTCAGTGTATACCTTACAACAAGTTTCAAAGGTATACAAAACACAATTTGGGTTATTGCGAAATGAAAAATATTGGCCAACATACACAAGACCTACTTTGTGTGCAAATCCAGAAATGAAAAGAACTTCAAAGGGCCGACCAAAATCAAGTCGTATAAGAACTGAGATGGACATTACAGAAAATCAAAGTAAGATTAAAAAATGTTCATATTGTCATACCCCTGGTCATAGCAGAAGAACATGTCCCAATGTTGCACGTGCATCTACTTCGTATCATTAGATTGTGTTAGTTAAGAAATGTCTCAATGTATGAAACTTAGGAGTTTTTCAATTAATTGAAAGTGATGAAGATCTTATTGAATCATTTGATAAAACAAAGATCTTGTGGGTTTGATGAAGTCAAAGGTTATTTAAGGAACTTTTTGCTAACTGTTTTAATCGATTAAAACTTATTGTTATCAGTTAAAATAACTTAGAAAGTTTTATGAAAAGTTTTGAAGAAACTCATTCTGCAGGAGCCGTATAATCTGGGTTTGATTGTTCTAGTTTCTTTTCTTTGTTTCTTTACATATTATGGGTATCTGGAAGCTTGAGCGAGAATTGACCACAAGCTAAACGTCCAACGCAGTTAACCACATAATGCAACTTGGGTCACCACATATTTCAATAACTTCTCGCTCAAGCGAAAGTACCCGTCGCTTGAGCGAGAATTGACCCGAGATTACCCATTTGTTACAGGTCTCCTCGCTTAAGCGAAGTTTCTTCGCTTGAGCGAGAGAGAAATAATCGATCATAATTTTGTATATTCGATTATTTTAAAATTATGATCGATTAGTTCAAATTATAATCGATTATAAATTTCTTCGCTCAAGCGATGGATGTCTCGCTTGAGCGAGAATTAACCACGGTCCAACGCAGTTACCCAATCAATTCTCGCTCGAACGAAGTAACTCATCGCTTGAGCGAGAATTGACCACAGACTAAACGTCCAATGCAGTTAGCCACATAACGCAACTTGGGTCACCACATATTTTAATCACTTCTCGCTCAAGCGAAAATACCCGTCGCTTGAGCGAGAACTGACCGGAGATTACTCCTTTGTTACAGATTTCCTCGTTCAAATGAAGGGTTTCTTCGCTTGAGCGAGAATTGACCCGAGATTACCCATTTGTTACAGATTTCCTCGCTCAAGTGAAGGGTTTCTTCGCTTGAGCGAGAGTTGATTGCGCGAAATAATCGATCATAATATAAAATAATCGATTATTTTAATACGTAAACAGTAAAAAATGCTAGTTGTGTAAATAATGTTCCAAATATGCTATTTTGAGAAATATTTTTAAAAATAATATTATTTATGAAAAAAGTGGTTCTTTAACATCTTGTGACATTCTTATTAATTATTTTTCATAAAGGAGTGGGCGTTATAAGGTTTTAGAATCTCAATATTAGCCCTCATCTAGTTTAGCCTTGTACTTGGACAAAAAAAATCTTAAAAAATTTAGATTTTAATTATTTTTTATTTAAAATTTCAAAATATTAATTTGAATAAATTAAATAAAGTTCTTAACGTAATTATGTCATCAACAGTTTTAAATAAAAAAATTAATCAAACATTTGAATTATATATATTATTATATTTATTACAATTATATAACTTTAAAATTTTAAAATTAAATAATAAAAATAATTTATCTTTTTATCTATTATATCTGTGTTTATCTCTTTATTTTATTTTAAATTTAAATACTTTGCAGTAAATTAAGTACTTTTGTTTTATTTTGATTTCTATAATTTTTTTTGTATTTTGGTCCCTTTAGAATTGAAAATAACTACTTTTTATTTCTAGTATTTTATGATAGTAATTAACTGTTATATGTTAAATAAAAGGTTAAATAGTTATTCCAAGTAACACGTACTAATGGTATAACATTTTTTTACGTGTCATCCAAAAACATTGTTAAGAACGGTAAGATAAATATTTTTAATTTATCTTAAACATGAATATTTGAATAAAAATTAATTATTTTAAAATTTGGAGGGTGAAAACTATAAAATATATTTTATAAAAACTAAAATTAAAATTCACATTTTTTTATGCTAAAGAGAATCGTTTCAATTTTTACAAAAACTAAAACAATTTTTTTATTGAAAATAAAATTAAAATTCATTAATTCTATAGAGATTAAACATATATTTAAGTCTTTATTTTATCTTTAACTTCATTTCTTAGTATCATCTCTTTATTTTTTACTACTTATTTTAGTTTTATTTTAAAAATATTTAATTTTATAAAAACTTAAATCAATAAATAAAGGTTTTATAACTTGCTACTACACTATTTTTATAACTCTTAATAATTTTCAGTTAACATTAAATGCGCACTAGTATATTAATAACGCCACTTACGTCAGAAATATAACACGTCCCATTATTCTTCGTAATCCTTATTGGCTAGGGAAGGGAACTAAATTAGGTGAGCGAAAAAGAAAAGAAAAAAAATTCAAAAAAGTAGAGAGAAAATAAATGTTGGTTACAAAATAAAGTAAGAAAAAAACACTAATTGATCAATTGACTAAATAAGGTCTAATCACATATTTTTGGTTTTTGATTTTTTTTATAGATATTAAGAATAATTACAATAATATTGTATAAGCCTTTTTAAATGATATTCATATTTTATCTAATTTTAAATATATATATATATATATATATATATATACTTTTTATTACATTTATAGAGAAGATAATTAAGAAAAATAATATGCAGGAAATAAATAGTCTTTTGAATTTAAATTTAAAAATGAACAAGAATAGTAATATTCTATATAAATAAACATGCTTAAAACATTATTAGTGTAATGATATACATGGTTAAATATTATATTTTTATAAAAAACTATGTTTAACTCATTTTTAAAAATTTATAAATAAATGGTTAAATATTATATTTTTATAAAAAATTTATCTTATTAAATAAAATTATCTAAGTTCTCTTTGAGGGTTGAATTTTATTAAAGTTCAGGTAAAAAAAAAAAATAACGCGAAGTAAGGAAAGAATAAGAGAATTCTATTAATAAAAACTGAATATAACTAAGTATTAAGCTATTTTAAGTTTTTATTAAGCTATTTTACGTTTTTTATTGGGAAATTTTTAAGTTAAGAAAAAACCATTTAGTAACTTAGAATATTCTAATTAGGTAGAAATGTTGTTCATGTGTCAATTTAGAGAATTATATTTGTGTTGCATATTAAAAAAAACAATTTAAGCATTTAGAATGTTTAAGGGGAAAATTATTTGTTTAAATAGTAATATGTTTTGAAAGGATGTATGAGTATTTTGTGATGTTGAAAATATGTTAGAAAACATTATTAGGTTAGAAGAATGTGATGTTGAAGGGATAAATTATTAGTTTGAGTAACGAGTCATTTGACGGTTTGCATAAGCGAGATTATAAAGTTCAAGTAGAGAAGTTATTAGAGGAAATAATTGATATTGTAAGTGTATCACTAAAACAATATTTGTGATGGTCAAGGGAGATATATGTAGAGAAAAGATAATTAATTTGATATAAATTTTGCACAAGTGATAAATATGTTTTCTCAAGTGAAAAAATTTACTAAAGAAAGAGAATTATTTTGATAGGTATTTTGCTCAAATAATGTGACATGACTATTAAGCCATGTGAGATCATTTAAGTGAAGTAGAGACAAAACCAAGTGAGTTGTATACTATAAAAATATTGCTTAAGTGTCAATAGGTTGCATAAGCAATATACCTTTGTTTTATGAAATTAGAATGTCTTATGAACGTAATATTAGTTCATATCTAATGATAATACATATAAGTGAGATATGTGATGTTGAATCCAACTTAAGATCGGTACTTAGAATCAACTTGTGTGACTATTTAATGAAAGATTAAGACAAATTTGTATATTTAGATTTGTATGTTTAGTATGAGATAAGTCGGTATAAGATAATGATATAAAAATGATAAAGTTGTACCATGGATGTATTATGGTGCATTAGTATGACAATTATATTTGTGATAAATTAAATAAGATCCCAAATTTCATTAATTATCTTAGTCATATAAATTAAAATATAATATGGTGAGGAGTAGTTTTGGTAGTAGTTATATTATATCTTGTATGTAAAGTAAATGGAGTGATGTTGAGATGATTGAGTATATACATGGTGTAATATCAATTATATTAGGATATACAAATATTAGTTTTAAATATTTTTGTGAATATGTCAATATATTTATATTAAGTAGAAATGAGAAATTGAATAATTGTTAAGTAAGACAAATCCATAACTTAATGTCTTGAGGTTTTGTATAAAAAGTAATGTCATATTTTTTTATATGTTTGACTTATGTGCTATAATTGAGAATCCCCTTAAATCCCTCTTGAAAATATTTAATAATTGTATCAAAATCTATTGTTTGTGTGGTGACTAGCTTAATCGAGTATAATTGGAGAAGGTGATAGATCTAAGATTTTGAATCCTTGTATTGAAAGTTTTTCTGACAAAATTATCGAATGATAGTATAAATTAGATCATGATTAAGAAATATTTATACTTAAGATATGTAATCTAATATAGAAGGAAATAATATTTAAGGAAAAGATTGTTTAGAATCTAGTTGAAATGTCACATTAATTTAATATAAATAAAAAAATTAAATAATTTACGGAAATAACTATAATCCAATATACTAATATTTTTTTATTAAAAATAGTATTATATATTTTTTTATACAATTGACTCATTTTATTATCAAAATTTTTTTATTAATCCATAAAAAATATTCAACATTATAATAACGAATATAAAATACGAAATAATAATGAGACGACATCACATATATTATTTAAAGTAGTAAAATGTTATATTTTAATATTTAATTTATTTGTTTGCTCAGTGTTGATGGGTATAATTTTATTGTCTACGTAAGAACGCTTATAGAAGATTTTAAAAATAATACAAAATAAAGTTATAGTGAAATATATATATATATTATTTAGGATTTATAAGATGTTAGTAACAATTTTTATAATTTTTATATTTAATTTGATATAAAAATTAGTTTATTTATAGAAATTATAAGACTATTAATCTCTAATCATTAATCAAGAATCTATAAAAAGAATCATTAAGCAATAATAATCGTCTAACGAAATCCGCTACGATATGATTTTATCTCATTTTTCTGCTTTTGATGTTGATGAAGATCTTATTGTTGTCACGCTTGTCTTTCTCTCTCCACAAATGGATTCCCACATGATAGGGCATTCATTGTTTCAGTTACAAAGAAGCACAAGTGTCACAAAGCAAGAAAAAAAAAAACCGAGACCGTTATAATATATTACAATATTTATTATTATAATATTATAACTATAATAAGACATTCATCATATAATATATAATATATAATAATATTATCATTTCAGATATAATATGATACGGAAGTTCCTGATAGATATAACAGAAATTGAGAATAGAGAGAGTTAGATAAAAGAAGAAACAAGATTGGAAGAAGAATATATACAGAAAACCCTAATTGGACGATGTGATGTATTACGTGATCTATGGAAAAACCCTAGAATCGGAGTAGGGGCGGAATCGACGACGACGTAGATGCTTGTTGTGGTTGGAGTGTCGTGGGATCTAAATTGGTTCCTGCAACTGTTGCTCTCCGTGATCTTTGTGGCCGTTGGTGTTCACTTTTTCGTCAAGTCCACCGCTTCCAAGTACTTCGAGGTCGACGCCAATTTTGAAGGGGACCACCACGCCCTCGCCGACGCAATGCCTGGTGTTCTCTCCGCCGCCGCTGATTCTCTCTGCGCCGTCTGCGCCACCCACGCCTCCAAGAAGTGCTCGCGCTGCAAGGCTGTCATGTATTGGTATGATTCCTTCCTTCAATCACTAATGTGATCGTTATAATTGCGAGGAGTTTTGTTAATCATTTATCTATTTATTTATTTTTAATTTATGTATGTATTATTTATTTAATGTTGTGGTAATTTAAAGGACCTACGACTGTGTAGGTGATTTGAGAAGTACTGGAACTGTGTTTGAGTTTTTTGTGTAGAGTCTGTGGTTCGAATGAAAATGATATTTGTATCTACTAAAAGCCATTAGATTCTCGTGCAGAATAGATGTTTCATACTAATAACATAATTTACCAACAAAACAAGGATGTTGCTTCTTTTTGGAAGTTTTAGCTGTTACTTAATTGAGTATGTTATGAGGTGTGGAATGATTCAGGTTCGGCTAATAAAATTGACGAGTTTCTCTCCTCCACTTTATATATATATATGTGTGTGTGTGTGTGTGTGTGTAAGAGAGATCCACCTACTATGAGTTAATGTCTAAAATTGCCTAAAAATGAACGGTGAGAGGAAAAGTAAATCTCTAATCCATGCGCTTGGAGTGAATGAATCTCCTTTATCTCTATATATATTTGAGAAATTTGGTAGGAATAGTGTTTGTGTTGAATGGGAAAGGTGAGCGTTGGCTGGATATAATTTGTATGTTTCTGTGGATTTTGCAGCTCCCAAGAATGCCAGCTGTCACATTGGAGGTCTGGGCATAAGACAGTATGCAAGGATTTTTGTGAAGACAGTGTAAGAAGTTCGGCTCAAAATGGGGTAATTAATCGTGGGTTTAAGGCTTCCGCTGCTGGGGGTAAGAGCTCGTCTTCAATTGCGTTAATACCCAGTCGTGGAACAATTTACAGGCCAATCAAGCAGCCTAATGATGTAAGTTTCTTTTATGGATGTAATTACTGTGGTTAATGAAACGGAAAGGGCAATTGAGTTGCTAGGTTTTATTGCCTTGAGATGATGTGCCAAAAAGCATGCAGCTTAGGAAAGAAAATCTTTATGATTAGGGGAAGAAAATGAAAAAACAATATATGTGACTATTTTGCATTAGTCTTCCATATTAAGTAAATAGACAAGATAATAAGAATATAAGGTTCTGATTTCTAATTAAGAAAAGGAAAATACTCATACCTGTGACTGTTTTGCATTTGTCTTCCTTACTAAGTAGATACACAAGATAATAAGCATATATGATTATTATTACCAATTAACAAAAGGAAAATATCAATACATGTGACTATTTTCCATTAATCTTCCTTATTTAGTAAATACCCAAGACACTAAGACTATAAGATTATGATTTCCAATTAAGAAAAGGAAAATATCACTGTATGACTATTTTGCATTAGTCTTATACGGTTATGATTTCCAATTTGCAATGATTGGAATGGTAAATTGCTGGGTTTTTAAAATTTTTATGTTATAATCAAGAAGTTCCCAAAGGTGTGGCTCTCCTCAACTTCAAAAGGCACCAGCGGTGTGCTCTTGGAATTTTATTTTTCCTGGGTCTTTAGACCCTTGCTATTTGGTAGTCAAATTAGAATGTTGTGCTCTTACTCAAGGGACAGCTCCTCAACCAGTACAAGTTGCTGACGACTTCTGGAGCCTTCCCAAAGTGCCTCTCTGAGTCTCTGATGTCATTTTGTTTACATGGCTGAATCTGGTTTATTTTTTCATATTCACATTAAAATTTATGCTTGTCTTGTTTAGGTTCTTTTTCCTTACGGTGAATTTGTCAAGTTTTTTAACTGGGATAAGCCAGGATTTCCTCCTTGTGGGCTCTTGAATTGTGGAAACAGGTTTGCCCTGACCTTCAACTTTATTGTGCTATCCATGATAAATGCGATTAGAGGAATCGGGAGTAATTTATATTTATTGCTATTATTTAGTTGCTTTGCAAATGTGGTTCTTCAGTGCCTCTCATTCACAAGGCCACTTGTTGCCTACTTGTTGGAGAAGGGTCACCGCAGAGAATGTAATGTCCTAGAACCCAGACCTTTTTGCTGGATCTCAACTATACCTCATTCTTATGTCATCAATTTTGGTTCTGCAGGCAGTTGTAATGATTGGTGCTTTCTTTGTGAATTTGAAACTCATGTTGAAAGAACAAGGCTAAGTTCACTTGCGTTTTCTCCTATGAATATTCTCTCTCGTTTGCCTAATATTGGTGGTACATTGGGCTATGGAAGACAAGAGGATGCTCATGAGTTCATGAGGTTTGTTTTTCCTTCTAACGTTATCATTTCACTTTTTGTAGTGAATTGTCCATTGTCTGTTTTGAATGACCTCCTGATGTTATATTTTGTTTGATAAATATATAAGGTAATTTTTTTTCAATATTTTTTTCTGTAGGTTTTCCATTGATACCATGCAATCTGTTTGCCTTGATGAATTTGGTGGAGAAAAAGCTGTCCCTCCTAACCATCAGGAGACTACCCTTATTCAGCACATATTTGGTGGCCGTTTACAATCTGAGGTTAGACATCTAATTATACTGAAATAAACATTTATTGTTAGAATGAGTGCCTTTCTATTCTTTCATTGAATTTATAATGCAAATAGAGACTAATGAACAATGATTATGTTGGCATGGGATAAAGTGAAACTTGCTGTGTTTTTTCTCACCTATATTTGAACTTTATAAGTTGTCTAACTTAAGATCTAAGAGTCCATAATTGTGCATCTCTATATAAGGTTGAACTTTGAAGAGTAATGCAATTTGTTTTCTATTTTGAACTCCATATGATTATGATATCAAATATTTATTTACAATTTCACTCTCTAGAAACAAGGAAAATCAAATTATTCAACCGATTTTTAAACTTTGTTCTTCAAAACTGTTTGCAAGTTCTACTTTAACAGAGTTGAGTTCAAAAGTAAAGAAACAAAAACTGAACCAAACATGGATAATTGAGTATGCGCCAAAGTCTGTAGTTTGAAATGTCCTGTTCTCTTTTGATGACATTGGCTTAGAGTCTGAATTTTTGTTTCTCTTCATTCCATGATTAAAACTTTAGATTTTGAGTATATTGTTCAAATATGCAATCAATGGAAGAAGCTTTTTCAGTACTAGGCAATAAAGCATTTATAACGGATTTTGTTATTTGATACTGACATGGGTGGCTGTCTGTTTATCTTTTTTCTTCTGAAACTAAATAGGTGGTTTGCTCAGAATGTGATAAGATTTCAAAACAGTATGAAAATATGATGGATTTGACAGTTGAAATTCATGGAGATGCTGCCTCCTTGGAGGAATGTCTAGACCAGTTTACTGCCAGGGAGCGGCTTGATGGGGAAAATATGTATAAATGTGAGGGGTAAGGTTACGCTTCCTATTGAAATATACTTGTACCATGACAATGTTTTGTATAATATTGCAAATTATTTCTTGGCATGGATGTCAACATCCGTTAAAAAATAATATTTAGTTACAATAACTGTTTTGTAGTTTGATGAATTGAATGTGGAGGACAACGTGATGATTTTAGATTATGAATTAAAAGGGAAGTTAGCCCTCCTAACTCTAGGGAGAAAATTAAGTATACAAAGATGTTCTGCAGTGGTAATCCATGAACAATTACTATGTAAGAAATTAACAAAATTATTATCTTCAAAATTCAATTCCAAATTCGGCCTTGGAAGTATTGAAAGCTAACATATAGTCACATGTTAGTTTCATCTGCATAAAGTTTACTGCTGCCATTAATTTTGATGACCAAAATATTGGCTGTTAAAACTTTTTGGCCATCTATAAAAATTCTGTAACTATGATAGAAACTTTTTGTACTGACCCTGTCCTCTTAATAATGGTACAAAATGATAATTATTATGTATTACTGTACAAATTATAAACATTTATTGGATTCAACTATCTATTTTATGAGTTCAAGTTATCTATATTCTGGGTGAGCTGTTGTTAAAGAATTTGGAAGGTGGTGATTATATTATGATCCAGTCAAATCAGACCTAAGTTGATTTATGACGATGATTTGTAGTTTCTGGCTTTAGCAAAACGTGTTTTGCTTGAGAGTAATACATAATTTTTATCTTTAGAATTTAGCAGTTGCTTTTAGTCTGATTATACCAGATTTCTCATTTAGGTTTGTTTCCTGCTAGCAGGCTTTCAATTTTTTTTTTAAATGTTGATTGATAATTAAAGAAAATTTTATAAATAAGGAAGAATTTCAATTGTGGAATGTAAGTTGTCAAAAACTGAAGTCAAATATTTGCTTTTGATAATGTCTTTTTGCTTTAAGGAAGATCCTGTTGTTAAAAAAGTTTCCTGCTGCTTGTCAGGTGCAAGGATTATGTCAAGGCATGGAAACGCCTTAGTGTGAACTGTGCTCCAAATATTCTTACAATCGCTTTGAAAAGATTTCAGGTCTTACTAATTTCAGCTAGACTTACGAATACCCTACTAGTATAAGCATGAAAGGCTTGAATTGTGAACTATTCGTGTCAACTTTTCTCATTCTTTTGGGGTGTTGTGTACATGCAGAGTGGGAGGTTTGGAAAACTTAACAAAAGAATAGCCTTCCCTGAGACTTTAAATCTTAGCCCTTATATGAGCAAAGCTGGGGATGGATCCGATATTTACAAGCTATATGGTGTTGTAGTGCATATTGATATGCTAAATGCTTCATTTTTTGGTCATTACATCTGCTACATCAAGGACTTCCAGGGGAACTGGTACAGGATTGATGACTGGAAGGTATATTTCTGTTTCCCAATTCGCTGTTGAATATTTTTCTTTTTGGTCACCTCGTACTGTCTAATCTTCTTTAATTGTCAATATCCTCATTTGTGTTCCATTACATTTTCTTAGGTTATGACTGTGGAGTTGGAAGAGGTACTTTCTCAGGGAGCATACATGCTTTTGTATAGCAGGTACTCTTGTGATTCTGTTTAAGAAGCTGATGCTCTCTTCATTGTGCTCTGCCATAGGCTTTTTTTTTTTTTTTTATGATTATATTTGTCAATTTATTTTTCAAAAAAGTGGCAAAGCAATTCTCCATTTGATCCTGGACAGGTGTAGTGCTCGGCCATCAGGCCTTCAAATTCAAACTAGTGAATCTCCGGGGATAGCAGAAGTTCAAACAACAAAAGTGGAAGTGGAGCCTGGACAAACTGAACAGGATGAATGCCTCCTCTCGAATATGAAAACTTTGACTTGTAGTAGAGATTCTGAGGTTTTAGCATCTGATAATAGTCCAGAATCAAAAGTTTCTTTCTCCTATGACTTCGAGTCCTCTGCTATATTGAACACAGAAGCCAAAAAAGAGCGGTTTGAGGATGTGAGCACAATTAATGTTGATTCAACCGGTATTGCAAATGAAATCTCTTGTAGTGCTATTGAATCAACATCTGTGCCTATTTTTCGAACCGTCAATGACTTGGGGGATGTAGATGTAACAGACATATCATTAGAAGAGACTTCTGGCTCCAAGGAAGAGCAATATGATACTGCTGCTATGGTTAGGTCTGGTCCTTGTCTGGGTTTACCAAATAACTCTTGCTTCTTTGATAAGCATTCTTCTATTTCAAGGGATGATCGAAACGTGGAAGAAGATTCAGAACACATAGCCGTGGTTAAAGGCAAGTTGAATGCAGCTAAAGATAATACATATTATGGTAATGGATATGTCAGTGCAAACGAGTTTTCTATTCCAGTTGAAGACGCCGGCATTCAAATTTCTGGCATCGCGTTTTCCCACTGAACATGACAAAGGAAATGGAAATATCAGCTGACATCTAGGTGCAGCTATTTTTGTTATTTCTTCTTAACATTTAATTATCCCATCATCGGAAAAGGTGGTGAGTTGGGAATTTTTTGTCCGGGGTTTCATTATTTGTAAGAACCTTGGATCTTTATTGTAACAAATTCTAGGTGGACTTCCTAAGTAAATTTTTCTGATAGAATATAATCCCTTTGTCCTTTATTTTCTCTCCTCGCGGTATAAGAAAAGAGTCCTGATATTTTGACAACCGGTTTTAAACATCCGTTCGACAACCCAATAAAAAAATAATAAATGTACAGTGTGACTGAATAAAAAAATATTAAATATACAGTGTTTTTATTATTAAATAATTCATTCTCTTGCTCATCTCTCCTCCTTCTCCGATTCTCATTTTTGTAGCACAGAACTTTCTCATTCCTTCCTCGACCTCAACCTCGACCTTCCTCATGCGGTTGTGAACTTGCCCAACTTGTCAGTCGAACTCACTCACCACCGCATTGTACAATTTTTCCAGCAACATCGTCAACGTGGTTCCATTGGCATTTCAAATTTAAATAATTTTTTTTTTTAAATTGGGACTTTAGATAGCGGTTCCCAGAACCGCTATCTAAACCTACTAAAGAGAGCGGTCCTAGAAATAACCGCTATTAAAAGTATATTTTAGATAGCGGTTAACTTGGAACCGCTATTATATGATCACTTTTAAGAGCAGTCAAAGTATTAACTGCTCTTAAAAGTGACACCTATATGATAGCGGTTCCACTTTAACCGCTCTTAAAAGTGAATCAGATATTGCTCAAGCGAGACTAGTGTCGCTCAAGAGAAACACAGCCCGAGAATCCCCAATCTTAGCAGGTGGCGTCGCTCGAGCGATGTGAATTTCGCTTGAGCGAATGTTGACTTATGGCTAAACGTTGCTCAAAGTTAGTCGCATAATGTAACATGGGTGACCACATGTTTGAATCGGATATCGCTCGAGCGAGAATAGTGTCGCTCAAGCGAAACACAACCCGAGAATCCCCAATCTTAGCAGGTGGCGTCGCTCGAGCGATGTTAGTTTCGCTTGAGCGAATATTGACCTGTGGCTAAACTTCGATCAAAGTTAGCCGCATAATGTAACATGGGTGACCACATGTTTGAATCGGATATCGCGCGAGCGAGAATAGTGTCGCTCAAGCGAAACACAACCCGAGAATCCCCAATCTTAGCAGGTGGCGTCGCTCGAGCGATATGAATTTCGCTTGAGCGATATTAGAAAAATCAGATAAAATGATCAATTATTTTAGGTTATAATCGATTATACGTTATGATGATCGATTATAAGTGGTATATGATCGGTTATATTATGCTAATAGATTATAATATTAATTTATCTGTCATAATTAAATGTAAGCGACGATAAAGTCGCTCAAGAGACCTTACGTGTAACCTAAAGGCAAAATCGATGAGCGACGCCGACAGTCACCTGTTTCACATCTACGCGATAGAAGCACCGACGTTGAATAAATTTGTTGATTGTTACCTTCTTCTCGCCATCAATCTCCTCCATTATCATTATCTATCGGAGATCCTTTTCCTAAGCTGCATTTTTACGGTTCAAGTAAGTGCATTCTTCTCGTTTTGTGCCTATGTTCATGTTAGTCTACAATTTTCATGAATTTTTTGCTGAATAATTGGTTCGTTAGCTGTTTAATTTGTAAATAGTTTGTTATGAAAGTGGTGTTCAAAGTGTTTTTCTACTTGTTGGGTTACAATATACAAATTTGGTCACCAACTGTTTGATCAAATGACACAATGAATAGGGTTAAATTTTAGCTACATAAAATAGGCACTTTCGTGGCTAAATTTTAGGTTAGACTTTGTAATACGGTTCATAATGCCTCCTAAACTTGTGTTTGATTTTGTATCTTTGCATGATGTAAGTAGGTAAACTAGTGTATTGTAATATGAATATAATTTAAAGGAGATGGTTGCTATTATATTGTTGTCAATGGTAGGAATTGTATCCTTCATCGTTTATCTAGCATGGGAGATATAAATGAAAACAGAGATGTAGCTGTCAACGAAGGCATTTTGGCCGTGTATGATGACATAGGTAGTGATGCGGATGTACAACAATGTGATGGTCCTCTCAAAGGTGTAGACCAAGAAATGATAGGTGTACATGATAACATACCCAGTAATGCAGATGTCACAAGTTTACATGAAGAAGTGTTGGTTGGCCATGATGAAGGATATCCTGACGCAGATGTCAGGACTACAACAAAATACGACGGTTCTGTTCCATGTGTAGGAATGTCCTTTGAAACTACAAATGCAGTTAGGTCATTTTATCGACAATATGCCATACAAAAAGGATTTGGCATCAAAACAAGGAGTTCAAAGAAGGGGCCCGATAACCAATTGCGGTACTTCATGTTGGTGTGTGCAAGGGCAGGTAAGTATGTTTCTGCTACACCAACTGAAATTAGAACCCAACCCACCAAAACAAATTCATGTCCTACACGGATAACAGTTGGATTAAAGGAAGGACTATGGTATATTATGTCGATAAATGATGAACATTCACATTCTCTTAGCCCAAAAAAATCCAGAATGTTTCGAAGCAATAGGAACATTAGTTTGCATGTGAAGAGGACTCTAGACATAAATGATTATGCAGGTGTGAGGATCAATAAAAGCTTTCGGTCAGTTGTTAGTAGTGCAGGAGGTTATGAAAACCTCCAATTTGTCGAACGAGATGTATGTAACTATGTCAATAAACAAAGACGTGCACTAGGAAAAGAAGGTGATGGGAAATCTCTATTGAATTATTTTTCACAAATGAGGGACTTAAACAAGGATTTCTATTTTGATATAGACCTGGATGATGATAATCGTGTGAAAAATGTTTTCTGGGCTGACGCTAGAAGTAGGGCGGCTTGTGAATACTTTGGCGATGTTGTTTCATTTGATACAACATACTTGACCAATAAATATGACATGCCATTCGCGCCATTTGTGGGTGTAAATCATCATGGACACTCCATATTGTTAGGGTGTGGGTTGTTATCAAGTGAAGACACCACTTCTTTTATTTGGTTATTTGAATCATGGTTACGTTGCATGTCATTGAAGGCTCCTACGGGTATTATCACTGACCAGTGCAAGGCAATGCAAAATGCCATTCAGATAGTTTTTCCTGAAGCCCATCATAGGTGGTGTCTATGGCATATAATGAAAAAAATTCCAAAAAAATTCCTGAAGCCCGTCATAGGTGGTCCTCGATGACTTTGTTTCCAACAACGACAATAGATGTTCAAAACATTGCAACTGTTCACAATATTACATTATTCGCCAAATAAACATAGCTCTGAATTAACTATATTACCTACGTAAACAACTTAAAACAAATATTTACCATAGCTCTATCAATTGGTTTTCGTGATCTATTATCATGGCCCAATGAATCTAATATAAACAGTTCTCCATCCTTACATTTCAGCACATAACACCACCAATGACCATTGTGTACAGTGGGAGCAAAAATCTGAAATAGAAAAAACTCTGGTTAATTGAATTTTATCTTGACAAAAATATAAATTTTAGGCAAAGTATAAATACTCACAAGTTCACAACTCAATAACTGCTGCAATGGAATAATTGTATTTGGATAGAACAGTGAGAAGTCTTTCATTGTCCACGTAGATGTTTTCCCTTTGCGAATATACATTTGTTCAATCACTTGTGTCTATCAAAAGGCACAAAAATAAATGACAATCAATGATAATATACCTATGTGCAACTTAACTTTTTAAATGCACAATAAACATACCGCAAACAAAGGATTGAAACAAAAACGTCGAATGCCGCCACCAGGTGACATTCATTTGGTCATACATCATTACACTACTTGCAAACAAGCATCACCTAACAACCCATATGATATTAATAAATATAATTTTTAAAAATATATTGAATCACAATTTTTCATTAAATAAACAAACTTATCATATTGTCAATATGACCCCTTGGCTTTAATGTCTGCAAGTTCCGCATAGTCAATATCTCGTCCATGCACTTCCACTACAACACTGAAATACAATAATGGATTACATTTCATTTTATACTAATTAAATTGAATGAATGTAATAAATTTGATTATATACTAACCGGTTTGGATTATCAAGGTTGGTGGTGCAAAACTTATACAATTGATACATGTCATCATCCTCACCAATCCCCTTCGCCTTTATCGATGACTTATTCATGTGAATCCCGATTTGTTCTTTCAAAATTTTAACTTCACGTTCAAGTTGAATGATCCTTTTTTGATTTTCTTCTGTTTTAGATCTCCATATACGCTGATCCGATAAAAGTTGTTGCAAGTCACATGACGCACCACTGGAGGAAGGTATGTCCATATTCTCATTTTGTGAATGCGTCAAAGCTTCTTGCACAACTTTCATTGTCTTATCATCCACAGACAGTGTCCAATCCCATACAATCTAACATATAAAGGAAAACTTTATATGTTAGGAACATAATATAATAAGTCCACATTTTTAAGGAAAATTTATATATGTTGTACACAAAATTTCTTACATTGTTTGAGATGAATGCACGTTCTATTTTGGACCTTCGAATGTTCACTTTAGGCCATTCAACAAAACGCAGAAAACCAATCTTTTGTGGTGGATCAGTAGGCAAAGACAGGTGCTCCACTGCCCATATCTATTACATAATACAATGTCATCAGTCACAATAATTTCATACCAACTAATAAATCAATCATTTGTAAGAAAGTTACCTGTAAGACAGCCACCAACCAGCAACGTACAATTGAGAATCATTCTTTTGCTCGTTTAACTTTGTACTAGCACGATGCAAACTATTAACTAATAAATCGTGCACAACATTTCCCCAATTATAATTATCTAATGCCTCTAAATCATCTAATAAACTAAAAGGAACACTATGAACAGTGCGGGATGTGCGAGGAAAGTAAAAAATCGCCCACCCAAGTAAGATATAAAGCCTACAAAAGTTAACTACATATTTAACATGCTTAATTTTTTTTCCTTTCAACTTCCTAACTATATTTGTTACTGTTATTGGTTCTTCTTCGTCGAATAAATCTTTTACTAAACATGAACCACTATCTTCTAAAACAATTACCTCCTCCCTTATACGTAAACCTAACGAAAAACAAACATCTAAAGGGGTGAATGAGACAAGATATTGTTTTATTCTAAAACAATGATCACTAATTGACCATCGACTAACTAGTTCTCTTATAATATTGCTTGATATTTGCAATGGATCTTTTATTTGAAGAAGCCATTTAAACGGAGTTTGTTCAATAGCTGCTCGTTGGTGTTTGGTCAACTTTGAATTTATATCAGCAATATACTCTGTCTCAATCTTGTGTCTTAATCTTATCTGCACATATAACATGTATAACATATATATCATACATAACATATAACAAATTGAATATTTAGTAAATCACTTTTCATAAAAAAACTATAATTAACATGAACATACCTTTTTCTCGTTACTGACAGCCTCTTTTTGCGGACATTTTTTCCCAAACTAATCCTGTTACAAATTATTAAAATTGTAACTTACAATGACAAAAAAGTAAAAAAAAGAAAATTAAGTCCAACCATGTTACACATAATTTTGGTCAAATTGTGAATTATGCAAATGTGGGTGTAAATCTTGTGCATATTATACAAAATATTTGTCATGCAAATACAATTCTTCATTGTAGCATTTCATCAAACACTTGTTGGACATTAATATAGCATCACAACTCAATTAACCCTAAACCCTACAGAATACTTTCATTACAAACCCAATCAAACATAAACAGAAAACAAAACAAGAATGCGCAAATACAATTCTTCATTATAGCATTTCATCAAACACTTGTTGGACATTAATATAGCATCACAACTCAATTAACCCTAAACCGTGAAAAACACCTTCATTACAAACCCAATCAAAGATAAGTTGCAGAACAACAAACAACAATGGAAACCCAATAAAAAATACACACAAAATCAAGCAAATGTTGTTAAACGAACACTCACCGCAGGGTCGCTCAAGCGACTGGCAGTGATGTTCAGCTCCAACGACACGGAGGAAGACAAGTGACAGGAAGTCGAGCGCCGTGAAGAGTGAGACGGAGAAGACAACCGAAAATTTACCCTAAGTCGAGCGAGAGAGGAAGTCCAGCGAGAATGTGTTATGAGAAAAATACTGTACCTTCTTCAAACATATATTTCACTCTTTACAATAACATCCCCATTTTTACAATATTACATCTTTGACCCCTACAATTTTACTAATCAAACCCTTATTTTTAATTAAATTCTTTTTTGCCCCAGTTGTCGAGCGGATGTTTGTTTTTCGGTTGTCAAAGTATCATTTTCGATAAGAAAAACATAATTCTTCCGAGTTGCCTTGAGCTTCCATTGTCGGGTTTGTTTAGCTTAATTATTTTGAAAAACAACTATTTAAATTAGAAATTATTTAAGTATTTTTCGAAATTTTAATCAATGAATCAATGTTTATTAAATTAATTAATTACACTAATTATATTACTCATAATTGGTGACACAAATATTTAAACCGAGCATTATAAAATATAACCACGGAAATTTCATCCACCATCAATAAAAGTCGAAACACTTACTATAATTTAGAAAATATTCGAAATGTAAAAAATTGCATTTCAGAATATCTTATTCAATAGAAAAATGTTTTGTCTATTTTTATCATTTATTATATGCCTTAATGATAGAAAGAGATAGAAAAAAAATGTCATTTTATCTTTTCTTTTTGAAATGAAAGAGTGTGTTTTGACTTCTACATGATGCAGAAAGTTTGGGTCCTTAACCGTGCATCCATTGTCTTGTTGAAGTAAATTGTCTACATTCCGTAGAGGAAGTTGATTAGAGCCTTTTTCTACTTCTTTTGGTAAAGGCCAATTTAACAAAATGAGGTTGTATCATGCGTGGATGAAGACCTTACCGGCTTTTGGTTGTGCGAGCATCTGCTAGAGGTGAAAGCACACGAGGAGCAGGAAAAGAAAAAGATCACAATTAACGGCTTTTGCTTTTCAGCATTTGCTCTTCCCACACTAATCTAATCCTTTCGTCTGTTGTAATAACAATAATAAAAAAAATACTTGTCTTGTAGATGGGGCTTGAGCATTGACTTGTGAAAATACAACATAGCAAAGCAAAAGAAGACAAAGATTCCTCAACGAGGAGCCAAAAGGGAGCAAGAATAGAGGGTTGCTTCTTGCTTTTGCCCTAGGAAGGTCAGCCGAAAACCACACGAGTCCCAGACAAAACCCAACCCTTCTTCCCTTTGACAAAATTGAAGTTGTTGATATCCACTTTAAAACAACTTAGTGGTCCTTTCTCTTTCTTTTATGCAAGCTAAAATGATTAAACTATTCCTCCAGTTTCTTGTTTGCGCGCTGAGTGTACTCTTTTTCTCATTTTTCAACCCGAATCCAAAGCATAGGTAAGCTAGCTACTGTAAGGCCATTGTCCAAAGTCAACGACTTGTGATGTTGTTATCTAATCCAACGGTATAGATGTGCACACATCATATTTTGCATCGAATTTTATGTTTTAAGACTAAGCCACACACGGGTGTGTGGTGTGGCGTGTGCGTATGCCTTGTCATCACATGATAGTGTCTCAAGTGTCAACCATCCAATACCCAACCAAAAGAGTTCCACAGGAAGCTTCCTACCTCTCTTCCTACATCTTGGGCTCGCTTTCCCTTTTACCCTTTTCCACTTTCTTCTGATTTCCTGCTCCAAAGTCCTTTTTAAACGCACAATATTGTGTTCTCCAACACTCTCACTCACTCACTCACCACCGTGCCCGTGTATCCTATCCTATCCACTCTCAACATAGCAGCAGCTGCTTCATTTCTATTATCAGGTACTTGTCTAACCTTGATTAGTTTTGTTCTTGTGGCATCATTATTCTGCTGTTTGCCGGTTACTCATGAGTTGCTGAAATGAAACCCTTTTCTGTCTGGTGTCACTGTTTCTACTATTTTCTTATCTTGTGCGTGGATTTCTACTAATAGGGTTAGTCAGGAAAAGGAAAGAAGGGAATTGCTTTGCATTTTGAAGTCTCAAGTTTCATGTTTGCTTCTAAAGGATAGCTTATGAGGGTATTTTTTTTTAGGGTGGGGGTTTCAACTTTAATTGGTTATCAAAATTCAATAATGAGCCTTGCAAATACATGGGGTAAGAGAAAGATGGGGAAAGTTTTGATTTTTTTGGGTGCAGATAAATAACTTTTGGGGTTACCCATTCAATTTGAAAGTTTTTAGTTTTCATGATTTGTAAAAGCTATAAAAGTGAAAAAATTGATTGTAGATAACGTCTTAGTCCCTTTGTTTGTTTCTACAGTTGTTTGCTCCAAATTTCTGGTCAATGGAAAACAGTTTGAAAAGAAAGTCTCGAGACAATGGAGACCATTTAATCTTCAACAGCTTTTCTCTGGATGACCTTAATGAAGATCTCTTAGAGAGGGTACTTTCATGGCTACCAACTTCCTCGTTCTTCCGCCTTACTTCAGTGTGCAAGAGATGGAAGTCAACAGCTGCATCTGTGAGTTTCAAGCTTGCCTGCTCACACATTCCTTCCCGGGATCCTTGGTTTCTGATGGTTTCTCCCACCCTCAACCAATCTATTGTCTTTGACACTGCTGAAAACAGTTGGAAAAAACTCAATCACTTGCGTCTTCCGCTCGAAGACTCTAACATAAACTGCATGCCTGTTGCATCTTCTGGTGGCCTGGTTTGCTACCGCAAACCTTCAGGAAACTTTGTTGTATGCAATCCAGTGACAGGATCCTGTAGTGAGCTCCCTCCATTGCATTCTCCCTCAGAAAATCAGCCTCTCAATGCCGTTGTGATGAGTACAACTTTCAAAGATCAAATCTCCTACAAGATTGTGTTAGTCTTCGGTGAACTCCCTAATCTTTTGTTTAAAGTCTATGACTCAGGCTCTGGCTGTTGGGAAGATGAGACTGCACTGAGGAGGGAGGTTGATGATAATTCCATTGATTGTGACTCAACTGATGATGACAATGTTGTGTATTTCCTTAGTAAGGCTGGAACAGTGGTGGCAAGTAGCATGCAGAGGAGCCCATCTAAGCAATATTCATCGGTTATTACCAACAAAGATGGTCAGGAGATGGTGTACTTTCTCAGCTCCTCAGGGACAGTAGTAGCTTGCAAATTGACATCCAAGTGCTTCTTTGAGTACCCCAGGTTGTTGCCTGTTTTCAGCGAGTACTCCATTGATATTGTGGAGTGTGGCGGTGAGATTCTGGTTGTTTTGTTATCAGAATTCTTGGAGAGCACAAGCCTTAGGGTGTGGAAATACGATGATGCAAATCGATGCTGGCAACAGATTGCTGCAATGCCTGCAGCAATGTCTCAAGAATGGTATGGAAAGAAGGCAGATATTAACTGTGTTGGAGCCGGGGATAGGATATTTATATGCTTGAACTCCCCTGAGCTATGCACTTACATTCTGTGTGATTTGGTGACCAACAAATGGACCGAGTTGCCTAAATGTTGCTTGAATGGAGAAGTCATGGAGTTCATGTCTGCCTTTTCATTTGAGCCAAGGATAGAGGCTTGTGTATGACACTAAAATGACCCAGCCCGGTATCTTGATTTTGGTTATCATCCTCTTTTTTGGTGTTCTGCTAGCTTAAGTTTTCTTCCCACTTGTACTTCAATTTGTCATGCAAAATAGCTAGGGCTGATTTGGTATGAAGATAGAGATGGAAGCTCTAACCAAATGATTGATTTCTAACTTATATATTGTAATTCTCTCCATTGATTGTTCAGTGTGTTCAGTGAATGGTATTATCAATGAATGCACATGTTGATGATTCTTTTTCCTATGATAGTTACAGACTGCTCAAATACTGAGTTTCCTCATGTCATGATTTGATAAATTAGTCAGTCTGGTCTAGGAAGAATGTTGAGTATAATTTAGTTCTTCATTTATGCATAATAATGGTTTAAATCATACTTTCTGATACCAAAACACTGTTAATGAAGCCGTTAAGCATCGAATTTAGTTCAAAAGGAGATGTAATTCTGCATGGCTTTCTTTATGATATTGGTCATAATTATCTTTGATAGATAAAAATTATATATATTTTTTGAATCATATGAGTAATCTTTTCTACTAGAAGAATATGATAAATTCCACCTTCACTTTATCCTTTCAATTCACTTTACAATATCAAATGCGTATGAACTACTCAACTAAAAATATGATTACTATTATGAACTCAAGTGATAATAATTTGCATATCAATTTTGAATTTAGATTTTTAAAAGTAATTAATGAGAATAATTCAGGTAACTAAATGGAATATGTTTTTGACCTATATATGAGAAATAACTAGTACAAAATTTAATATTCTATTAACTTATAAAGTGTCATCACCATAAATCACATCATCAATTTGACCATATTTTGTCTCCCTCTAAAATTTGATTATTAATATATAATAATTTAACAATTTATCATTAATCTTTAATAATTTAATTTTATAATGAAAACACATAAAAAAAAGATAAATGATGGATTTGATACAAGACACTTCTAATTTAGTCTATAGCAAATTTAATTTTATTTTTAATGTAAAAAAATTCAAATTATTTCTAATATTTTAATTTAATGATAAAATCATTCTTAATTTACTATTTAATTGGTCTTTTAAAATATAATTTAATAACCAGGATAATATATACAACTTTAAAATTATATGTAATTTTATAACTTTTTATACGTTTAAAACTAAAATAAATATTTTTATATTTTAAGGACTGAATTGAGAGAGTGACACGTATAATATTAAGTTGTTCATTTGCTCAAATTAAACTAAAAATATATCAGCTCAATCTTTTCTAGAAATGATGTGAAGGGTACGATTGAGAGATTCACTCATACGCGAGTAAGCCCGTCCGTAGGCTATAACTCCTTCTGTTTCCCCTTCCAGAAGAAATACGATTTCCCAAGATATAAAAGATATCAAAACACGCGTGTCAAGAACACAAAATCGCTTCTGAATTCTTGTGTTTTGATCAGAACCTGAAGAAAAATCACTTAAATTAGAATTCTAATTTAAGTTTCGCGCAGAAAAGAAAGAAAAGAGAATGGAATCCGAGGATTTGGTGAAACGGGAATTGGAGGAATTGCAGAAACAATTGGGGAAGAAGCAGAAGTTTGAAGCCTCTGTTTCGTCCCTCAAATCCCTTCTCCAATGCTCATATCCTTCAGCTTCTCCATCGCTTCGCAAATCCGTATGCTCTTCTCCTTTTATGTTCCAATTTTTCGTTATAATTTGTAATCACTTTCGCTACGTTCTTCAATTTAATTTTGTTAGATTTCTGGGTTTAGTTCCTTTTGTACTGTTTCTTTTAGTTTGATACCAAAAATTTGGTTTTGATTTGCTTGAATTGATAAATATGGTTGTGTATGGAATAATAATTTGTTAAATTAACATTTGGTGAACCTAGCTCATATATGTTTATTGTGCTAATCATTGATTCAACTGAAAAGTCTGTAGCTGGAAATTGAAGATATTTTCACTTGCATGTCATCTGCAAGCACCTAGGAAGCATGAAACAAATTGTATGAACACTTTTAAGTCTTCTAGCAATACTAATTGGAATATCATTGAACTTAAACAACTTTTAGGTCCTAATATATGACCCATTTTTGGTTCTGAGTATCCAATAAATTTTCTCTTTAAATTAAGTGTCTAATTAATTAAAAATTTTGATTTAAATTTCTATCATTACCTTTATTAGTTCCAAACAATTTGAAGTATAGAAGAATGACTTGAAGTATGAAAAATGACATGTATTTAGTATCTTTAGTTATTTGTACTAACCAGATATATTAACAATGATGAAAATCTTGTAAGTTGTTACGTATGGTAAAAAATAAATTGAGGAACAAAAGAGAAATATTTATAAATCACTTAAAATAGTCAACATAATAATAATAATGATAATGACAAAATACCCATATATATTATTTTCAGTGACTTGAATAAAAAATTTGTAATTATTAAATCACCTATTAGAAGAAAGCATTTATTGATTATCAAAACAAAAATAGGTCATATATTCAAGACCTAAGACTTATTTAAGCCATAGCATTATATAACAATTTTGCAAATGGGAATATCAGAATATCATAAATTGGATGCCATAGATGGGCTTAAGGACTTATAGGAAAAGAAAATAAGACAAAAATGAAATTAACTTCTCTATAAGTTAAAATTAGCTTATGCACTAGCAAATTCACAGTAGTTCTATTTATTTTCTTTAAGTTTTTATTTTTAATTTGTGTATAAGCTAGTTTTAGCATATAGAGAAGTCAATCTCATTTTTTTTCTTCATATTTTTCTTTCCTGAAAGTCCTTATGGAAAAGCTCATCCAAGTATGCCCTATGTCAAGGTTTTAAAAAAAATATCTATGACTGCAAGGTTCTTGGGTGTTTGCCATTCATTGCTTGGCAACCATAATTGTGGCCATATGAACTGCATTTATCAGCAATTTTCAGTAATGTGAAATATTGTGACAACTGAAAAAGTGATTGCAACCACAATTTAAAACATTGATCAAAAGTTGAATTGTACTAATTTTTTAAACTTGGATCCTCTCTTATGAATTATGATTTAACAATTTTATTTTATGTAATTTAAAATTAATTTTATATGTTTATTATGGTCGTATAGTGTTTGTGAGTTTAAAAAATTTCTATATGTAGTATTGCATGTGTCATGTATTATATCTGTGCTTTCTTGGGAGGCTCCCTCGTCCAGGTATGACCTCTGTGAACAGGATCAACCTTTACTTTCTCTAAACTTGAATATTAAAGAAAATGTTTGTTATTGTTTGCTAAATAGCTAAAAGCCAGGAGATTGACTGGTGTAGCTGGTGTTTGCAGTTTTATTCAGTTATATGCCGAGTTGCCACTGTGTTGAAGACCAGATATACAGCACCAGGTTTCTGGAATGCTGGATTGGGTCTTTTTGAGCTGGCTCATTTGCTTTATTCTGAACCTTCTGAGAGGGAACACTTGAAGGCTTGCATTTCTCAGGCCAAGGAACATTTGCATCTGGAAGACAACCCATCACTACAAGCTTCACAACTTGCAGATGATCAGGCACACAGAGGTGATTTTCTTTCTGAATAATGGCTTCTTCTTTTTTTTAAATTTTTTTTATTTATAGGTTTTCACGTTTATTTGTTGTACTAATCCTTCAGAGATTTTGAAATCATTAACCTTTGTTTTCTTGTGTTCGTTCCGCAATGATTCAGGATATCTTTTTGAGGGGCACCTTACAGTTGATCCTGAACCACCACAACCTCAATGGTTGGTGCAGTCAAACCTTTTGACAACAGCTGCTACACTCTTTGCTGCTGAATCCTCTCAAGCTTCTGCAGCAAATGAAACCACCCCAGAGGATGCCGCAAATATGCTTCAAGATCTTATAAATAGTTTGGAAGAAGTTGTGCCCTTGGTAACCATCACTTATCAGAGTTTGAACTTTCCACTCTTAAAAATATTTGTTCAAAATATTCACGCCCTTTTGATAACCATCACTTATCAGATTTCAATTTTTCACTCTTAAATATTAACATGGATTGGACTTTCCATGTTCAGTTTCTAAAGTTGGATAAGTTTCAGGAAAGAGTTATTATGTGGCTTAGTCATTGTATGAACCTAACCAGACCAGGCCTTTGTAGAATCATTTAGATCATTGACAAATTATTTAGGCTCTGCTTGGAACTTGAGTAAACCTAGTTGACTTTGGTTCAATAGAATACTTTTTTTCTCAATAGATTAAGGAGTCAATGCAAACAGCCTAGATAACAAGTCAACTTCTACTTAAATTCTTATACATAATGTCCCATGCCATAGTCGCCTTAGTGGATCTATTGTTGATGTTAATGCATCATTTGAAGGGTGACATGATATAAACAACTTACCTCAATTCAACTCATTTTGTTAATTCTTCGGTCTTATTTTAGCTCTTTGCAACTTGCTTTTTGATTGATATATATTTTGTCTATTATAAGCAGCCTTTCCATTGAACTACGATTTACTGTATTTTTTGTCTACACTTTGCACTGGTCACTGAAGGACGATTTACTGTATTTTTTGTGCTAGATGGTGGATGAAGGTACTGTAGCTCCAAGAGCCCCTCCTGCCAGTAAAGAGGTTGTGGCAAAACTTCCAGTCATTACTCTCACAGAGGAAATTCTGGCTACTTTGGGGAAAGATGCAGAGTGTGCCATTTGCAGGGAGAACTTGGTTTTGAATGACAAAATGCAAGAGTTGCCATGCAAACACACATTCCACCCACCATGTTTAAAGCCATGGCTGGTATTGTCCCTAACTCCTCATTTCTGTTGGAAATTTTATGATCTTGTGAAATCAACTTCATGCATTTTTTTTTACTATGGAATTCTTAATAAATGACATGTTTAATTAAATTGAGTTTAATTTGATCCTTTATCTAACAGGATGAGCACAATTCCTGTCCCATCTGTCGTTATGAGCTGCGAACTGATGATCATGCCTATGAGAGCTGGAAGGAGCGAGAAAAGGAAGCTGAAGAGGAGAGGAAAGGTGCTGAAAATGCAATTCGAGGTGGTGAATATATGTATGTTTAAATGGCATTCTATGTTATGGTTAATAATATATGTTCGATAGTGTCACAAGGGACATGAACTTTTCATTCGGTGAAAAAGTTTGTTGTATATTTTATTTATTTCAAGCTATAGATATCTCAAGTTTTCAGAGTTGTTCAATGGTTTGTCAATAATTCATACAAATTAAACATTTAGCTTAGAATTTTTACTTTTACAATAATGTCAATAATTCATACAAATTATTACTTAAACATACACTTAGGTGATAACTATCCACTTAGACTTGGAGAGTAAACATTCAAAACATGGAACATCCATGCTTGACAATCTTAACAGCAGAATCGTGGACTAAACCCGAATTCAACATTTGATACATCGACAATTACTGGGAAGGAGAATACAGTTATAACTTGTTTTTAATTTATTTATTTTTTTACAAAATTTTTGCTCGAATAATTCTTCATTTTGTTCTTATATAATTTTAAATTTAGTTCTTATACGAATAGTGCATTCTTAATTTGGTCTATTATGTAATTTGTTTTTAATTTATTCCTACAGGTAATAAACTATATTAAAAATTAAAATACATTATTTATAAGAATTAGATTCAGAATATATTACACGTATTAATCAAATTATGTATAAGAGAATAATGGTGACAGATTAAATGGGTAAATATTTTCCATGGATGGAATGGAGCCAGCTTGATAAGTTAATATATGTAGAGACCATTTTAAAAATTAGTTACGTTTATAGGAATTAAATTATATGTTTATCTTTTTATTAAGAAAATTGTTGCGAAAATGTGAAATATTTAGGATTTGTTTATTTATTATATTTAGAAATAATTATCAGTTTTTTAATTTTTCAATATTTTAAAATTTGTTTGATATATTTTATAATGTTTTTTAGCTTCTAAAAATTAAAAAGAACAAAAAGGATGAAAATTGTTTTTATTTGTTTTCTATTTTTATTCATTATATTTTTATTTTTATCGAAAGTTACTTTATATGGTATGTTTTTATTCGTAAATTCTTAAAATTTAATTTTTAATTTTATTGTGACTTTCTGTTACAGACGATGTAATCTTTTAAAACAGTTTTTAAATTAGAAGTATTAAATAATTTTTTTAATGTATTTAAAAAAATTGAATTGATTTTTAAATTATTCTTGAAAACTAAAAAATAAAATAAAATCACAAGTTCTTCCTGATTTGAAAATACTTAATATTCACACCAGGAGTCATATCTTAAGTGTCACATTCAAGCGATTTTTAGCTAGCCTATTTGTTTATGATTTTAATAGAATTAATTTTAAATAGTTGAACGTAATTAGGATGTGTTCAAAATATTCATGATTACAAATTTTAAATTAAAATGCATGTTACACTGTAATGACTTGTATCTTTAAGCAAGTGTTCCATAGTTTGAATCATGATTTATGTGTGGAAGAAATTATCTTAGAAGTAAATCCATACCAATATTATAATTAACAAAATTATGTATGGGATTTCATGAATTATGAAGTTTATATATATTTAACCAATTTAATGTCCTGTTTCTAATTGAACTGGTCCACAAACTAATAAACCGATAAAAATCATTCAATTTTTTTTAAATAATCTTTTTAGAAAAAATACATTTTTGATATTTTTTAGGTTTTATGAACATTCTAATACAATTATGCCATTTTCTTTCCGAAAAGCTTGTTATTAAAGAATATTATCATGTATTGTATTTGTTGAAACATAAACCAAAATACTATTCAAATTGTGGTGTCAAACGAACTATAGTGCAAACAAATGTAAAGGTCACTCAATTTGGATAAAAAACATTACCCTATATACCAAAAACATCATAAAACAATGGTAAACGTTAAGTATAAATTGCGCAAACACAACAAATGCAGAACTCAGAATGCAACCATTATTACCTCAACAATGGATATTTTGTATTCACTCATCAGTACTATATAACATAACAAACTTAAAATATATCAAAATGCCTTATATAGCCCAGCCACATTTTAGCTTGGAACTTAAAAAACAGATGAATCACAACTTCTCACCAAATTGCAATCATTATTAACTAGAAAGCTCACTCAAATATACACTAGCGCCTGAGGCTTAGAAAATAAAGTTATCAAAGCAGCACCCCAAAGTGGAGATACCTCCATAACAAACTTGGTGATATGTAAAGGATTTCATGAACATAACTAACATGTGGTTGCTAAGATCAGAAAACTGTGAACCAACAGGAACCTTTGATCCAAATAATGCAGCATCTGTCAACTAACAGGCTTTCTACTCCACCTATTTCCTGATCTGGGTGAATTAAGATTCGAGTCACGGTGCTCTGAGAACCTATCATTTCTAGCTGCAAATCCCATTGCATCATTCCTGCCACCTCCTCTCCTGTCTCTATTTCTCTTCACATGACGATTAGGTCTGTGTCCACTTGATTTCTTTTCCTGATCAACTTCATAGGCCAGTGGTTGGATCCCCTGAAGATCAGGTTCTGGAACATACCCAAAAGGCCTCTTGGATACATCCATTCTTCTAAATGTGATCGATATCCTAATGGAAGTTTTAACAAAAACAATACAGGTCAATAATTTATGATTTGTTTAAAACTTAAAAGCCACTGATAGAATATCAAATTGATTCATACCTTCTCGTAGGGACTGCTGGCACACAGTGCTTAGCTACATCAGCTCCATTTCCATTCAAGACAAGCACAGACCTGGAGAAAAAAGACTAACTATAAGATTCTGAATCTTCTATAAAAGTAAGAAAGTTGAAATCTGACTATCATATAATGATGGTTGAAAAATTAAACAAATAAGAGTAAATAAGATAAATCCAGACTGAATACTTACCCCATAGGTAACGGAATAGCAATCGAACCATCAAATTCACCAGGGCCTACAATCTTTAAGTTTGATCCAAAAACTATATTGCACTCACTAAGAAATGAGACAGTGCAAAATGGTCGAACAAAGTCATGGTTATCTATGTGTGGGGGTATACAGTCCCCCTCTTCGTAGATATTAACAATACAACTGTCTGGCACACAAGTAGGGGGGAGTATGTGCCACTTGATCAGACGCCGAATGATGACCTTGAAAAGATCGGGTACAGGATCAACCATTGAATGCGGAAGAATACCAGGTGGGTTACCATCTCTATCCTGTAATAAAAAAGTTACATATTAAGACTTATGTCATTTTTTATCGAACTCCTCAGTGTCAATTCTGCACCCCAATGTATTAGGTTACTCTGTTTCAAAATAAAGAAATGTAAAAGTAGGATGAGAGATAGACTAACCACTGCATAATTGTAACAGCACCCAAATTGGATGGTTTGGCGTCCCTTGCCCCTCATCCACTTCTGGGGAGCTGAGAATGTCCGCTCTGAACAAATGAAGAATTAACATCATATACTCCACCAGAGATTATATCACCAAACAGATATACTAAATAGTCAATGAAAAAATAAAACTGAGGTGAAAAAAAAGTAATTATTTTGTTTCCAGCATCTTATGATGTGTCATTAGCATATGCATATTGACCCCACCACTGGATCTAAAGTCTGATCCCTGCCATGTTTATTCCTAAATTAGAAGAATATTTAGATTAATGTCAAAATCATTTGTCTCCCTAAGTTTTGGGAAGCCCTCAATTTTGGAGACATGAAAGTTATGCTTAAATAATTGATATGTTTCACAAGGATAGTGTAATAATCAAAGGCATCAGAAGGTGCTAGAGTGGGGCACTAGAAGGGATAAGCGACTGTGGCTGGTTAAGGCAATGCCTCTTCATTGAGGCACATACATGGCTTTTTGAATGAGACAAAACCACATCTTTAGCACCATGATAACAATTTCAAATCCAAAAAAGTTTAGCCACCAAACTTGATAATAATGATGCAGAGGATGCAAAATAGTTAGAATGTAAGTTGAAGGATCTAATCTTTTGAAGGCTTGAGAAGGATGTAAATGGATGGCTTGTGAAGTTAATTTAACTGGTTAATTTACAAAAATAGTCAAATATTTTAATGTTTACATATTTTTCTAATGCTACCGACTCTAACACCAGACTTTTCAGCACTTTGATTATACTGATAGATTAAATTGCTATCTCCATTAAATTAAACTACAATATTTAACCAATAAGGTATCTAAATAACAATCCATCAATAATCAAATATGCATATTTGATAAATCAGAAGCAATTAAAGTGTTAAAAAATCTTAGTACAATAACTGAGGCGACAGAACAAACATGTTATTGAATATTTGCAGTATCAGATACAACAGTATTGGGAAACAAGTACCATTAATATCAATCTACAAGAGTTGCATTTATAGATCATCAAATTCTTAATATTACTAACAGCCATGCAGAGTGACTGCAATTTCGGATGTATGCTTAATTATAAGCAAGAAGATAATGTTTGGTGGACTAAATTATAAGTATATTTCAACTGATTTCACTCTATTTAATAATACCATACAAAAAATACCCTTCAAATAATTGAAATTATATTTTCTATGACTCTTACCGGATAAAAGAATCCAACGAAGGACGCATTGGGGAAAAATTTATTTTTAATATGATTAGTAGAATTGAATGGCATTGAGTCCAGAGGTAGTACATGTTATTTTCTTCTTCCATTTTGATGTTCAATGAGTTTTAAACCTAAACATGTTATTGAAGGTTTCCTAGGACTGTGCATATGAAATAAAACATGCTGGAATCAATCTCTCGAATAAATCTTGGTATCTGGAGAGGTTAGTCTTTGACTCAGTCAAGACCAAAATACAAGACCTCGTGAACACTATCTAAACTCCCCAAATCCGTTACATTCTTATTTAACAAAGTTAAATTCAGAGAAGCAACAGCAATAGCAAAAAGAAGTATGGAATTTGATCAGATGACAGTTCTTTTAACACTAAGCAATGAAACAGAAGCACATAACAATATCACAAAGCACATACACAAAAAAAATAAAAAATAGTCGGATGAAAGTTGAGAATTGAGAACACAAACCTTTCAATTCTCCTCTTTTCCCCATCTCCTGTAATGAAGCAACATAAGTAACAATCCTTTTCTGTTCAGCAGCACTGAAAATCCCGGTGTGGAGTTCAAGCCCTTCAAGAATGTTTACAAGCTTCCCATTAACCCTCTCAAAGCAAATAAAGTCCTTCTTGCGCCTCACACTCATGAACCTAATGAACTCCCTCTGCTCCCTAGGCAAAGTAGGCTTCTCAGCCACAACCTTACCCAAATCAGAAGCATAATTCGAATCACCCGCAGCAACATTTACCCCATTGTTGTTGTTTTCTTCTTCGCCAAGCTCATCATCTTCTTGGGCCATGTCGGCCCAACAAACTCTCTGAGTCGGAGTCTCCACACTGGGATTCACCTCCGCCCCGTCTTTCCAACTCCCCAGAGAATGAGCGTCGCAGTTATCTTCGGCGTCGTTTTGGTCTATGGGACTGTCGTTTTGGGGCGCGGGAGCTTCACCTGAAAAAAAAAAAAAAAAAAAAAAAACAGAAGGCTTAATAAAAATCGGGGCAAAACCAGTGGAAAAAAAAACGAGAATTTGATAGAAAAGTGAGATTCTTCCTACCTGGGGCGATGGATTGAATACGATCGGAGAGAGATTGGGTGCAGCGCGTGCAGAGATCTCGGGAAAGAAAGGGGAGCCAGGTGGCGAGAAATTCCGAAGCGGTTCGGAGATCCGAAGGTGTGTAGTTTAAAAGAAAAGGGTCGGTGTCGGAAGCTTTGATGTTGTTGGGTTTAGGCTGTTGGTCGTGTTGTTCCTCCATGACGTGGTGAGTCAACTCGGAAGGTGGAATCGGAGAAGAAGAAGGAACGGAAAGTAGAAAAGACCACACAGAAGAAGAAGATACTCTGCTTCCTCTTTGCTGCGATTTGTAATTTGTTGGTATTGAGGCACTCAAATTGTGTTTGGTTTAACTGCTTGTCCAAGGCTATATATCTATATATATACAAGAAAATATATTATTTGATAATGTAATTCCTATATTTAAGATTTTTTTAGATATATTTTAAAGATAAGATTTGAGTAATACAAAAGATATACAAGCCATTTATTCCAATTTTATATATTCAATTTATTCTTTTAATTGCAATATTATATATTGGAGAGGCATTGTGTTTTGCCAAACACCTTTTTCAAAATTATAAAAAATAAAAACTTTACTTATTAGTAATTTATATATCTAAAGATCTTTTTTTATTCATATTTCAGATAAGATTTTAGTAATCCAAGTCAACATGTTAAAGATATGTAAAAAGAAAAAAAATCAATATCATAAATACAAATTCTTATTTTGTTTTCTATAAATTCCAATTATTCTTAATGACAAATATTTCTATATTTATAGTTATTAAATTAAATAACATTATTTTCACATCTTTCTAATATATATATATATATATATATATATATATATATATATTTTTTTTTTTTTTAATCGGTATTTTTAAAAGATATTGTTATTATCTTTCAGTCACATGTTTTATATAAATAGAATTCTTTTTTTTTAAGTATTATTTGAATCTCAGCACATGTTTTAACTCTAGTGTATAATAAATTCAAATAATTTATTTTAAATAAATATTTATTTTGTACTACTAAAATTTAAATTCAACAAATAGTTATAAATATATACATTGTAAGTTTAAACATGTTTTTAAATATTATAGAATAGATTAATTTTGTTTTATTCTTATATAAAAAATCTTTATTTTTAATCTATGTAAAATTATAATAATTAATTTTACTCCTTATAAAATAAGAACATTTTTTGTTTTTGCTTTTATAATATATATATATATATATATATATATATATATATATATATACTCTAAAATTTGTAATCAATTTTTTTCTCAATACTTATTTTAAAATTAATAAATAATATTTCTTTTATGAATTTTAAAATTTATTTAGAAATGTCAAATGCATAAATTACATCATACATGTTCCGCCATATTTAAGGTTATTTGGTGTTACTTGAAATTAATAATTAACCGTCTAGGGAATTAAAGGTGTCATAATAATAACGATAAAAAAATAATGATTTTCAATGTAAAAAATAATTATATTTAAAAAAAAGTTAATTCATATTTTTAATTTTAAGTACTTATCATTTTTAAATATTAAAATTAAAATTAGAATAAAAGATATTAAAATATCAGAAGCGACTTTGATTTCATAAAAAAAAAGCCATATTTAATTTTACAATCTATATTTAAAATAAATAATATATCAATAAATATATTATAATATTTGAAATAAAACAATATATAGAACCAAAAAAAATATATAATACCATGTAAGTAATTTAAAAATTTATAAGTATTAATGTTTTAGATTTAGGTAATATAATATAAAAATATATTATTAAGAATTATAATTTACTTTTATAGTTAATATTGATATATTATAATTTTATTTTATATTAAGTTTGTATTTTAATTTTGTATTATATATAATTAAATGAATAAAAGTATTAAAATATTTAGAGGGTTTAGAACTAACACTGTAGGAAGCTTACACTAGATGGATAGCCAGACAAATTTAATTAACTTAATATAAATATTTTTTTAAGTGTTATTAATATATTACATTTTTTGTAAATATATTTACTTCTTAACCTTCTTAATTATTAAGCATGGTAATATGTGTACTTAAAAAAAATGTTTACCTAAATCTTTAAAATAAATTTATTTGTTTGTTTTTATATATAATATAATATGATGTGATATGATGAATATATTTTAAAATATAAAAAAATAATTATTAACTATTTATTTAGTTCAATTGTATAATGTTCACTAAAAAAATTACAACAAAATAGTAAACTGTATATCACAAACACTTTTCTTTCATTTATCTAATATACAAATTCATTTAATAATAATTTTTTTAACAATTATTATTATTAAATTAAGTTGTTAGATGAATGTATAAATTTTAAGAAATGTCAAACCTACTTAAAATTTGACTCAATGTAACTTATTTTCATCTGCGTTAATTAATAATTAAATCATTTTTTAGTTCTCATAAAATAACATTATATTATAAAAACTGTGATAATGAATTTGAATCATTATATTTATTTTCAACGTATAAACACTTAATTATTAGGATTAAAAGTAATAACTTTTAGTTTTAAAGTGATAAAAGAATATATATTTTAATAAAAGAAAATAAAAATGTATTATTTTACCAAATAAAAAATATATTTAAATTTAGGGACTAGCGTTTCGCTTTATTGAAATATTATTATTTTAAAAGTTATAAATAATTATAGTTGGTAACAAACTACTTTATTAACTATTTATTTACTGATGGAAATAAGAATTAAAAATGATTTAATAAGTAAACCTATGTCAGTTTATACTGTTTATGAAAATTTATTAAATCAGTAACAACCACATTATTACAAATAAAATTAATTCATATTACAAGTAAAATTGATTAGATTAAATTATTAACAAATAAAAAAATATTAGTAATATTTATTTTATATATAAATGGATCAAACTTAACATAACATATAATAACATTAAAAAAAAAAAAAAAAAACACATGGTCACTCCTCTTCATCTAATGTATTACATCCGCTTTTATTATTTTCATTTCTTACCTCATATAACATTGTCGTCAACTTTGTAAATCTTAAATTTAATGATGATTGAGGCTATTTTAAGGTGGTGTTTGATTTAAAAAAAAAAAGAGTTTAATTTTAGTTTTAAAATTTAAATCTTCCAAATTTATTTACTTTAAAATCTAATTCTTTAGGAAATATATTTATTTATGAAAAGAATATTATATATATATATATATATATATATATATATATATAAATTGGTTATTAATGTAATAAAGTATTTAATCTAGATGATAAAATGGGTTAACTTCGAACAAGTTTTACAAATGGTGAGAGATGTTAATAATTTTAATGTGATAGTTTGTTGTGTCCGGTCTCGGCAATGCAGTGGGCCAAAGACAAGATTAAACAAGGTAAGATGAGTTGATTTGTTTAAAAAAAATATTTATATATTAAAATTAAATAAAAATTATAATTAAAAATATTATATTTTTGTGTGTTTATTATTGAAATATGTAGATATATTATAATATTATAATTTAAATTATAAATATTAACTAATTAAGTTTAAATTATTGATCATAATTAACTATTTTAACACACAATAATAATTATTTTAATTTATTTAACAAAAATATTAATTAATAAATAAAAACTTAAAAATATTCATATAATTAAATATGTATTTAATATATATATATATATATATATATATATATATAAATGTTGACTTCTTGACCTGCTAGTCTGCCCTTTAATGAGCAAGTTAAAGTTTGTAGCTCATAAGTCAATCTGTCTCGTTTCTGTATTTGACAGACCGAATAAGCTGACCGTTTTGAATATCCTAATTTAATCTTTTTTATTATCATTAAGAAAGAAATAATAATACAAGATCCATATATAATAAAGTGATAAAATTTAGGATTTTTTTTTACACACTTCACTTATACATATATGTGGATATTTATTTGTTATGGACATTTGTGTTTAATGATTTGAAATAGTTATGATGTAAATTTTGAGAATTTCAAGTGAAATTACCAGTGGCGGATCTTGACCATTGATCTTGGGAGGGTCAAATAATATATTATTAATAAATAATAAATATAAAATAATATATTATTAATAAATAATAAATAAATATAAAAGGAAGAAAGAAGATGAAAAGGTAAAAGGATAAAATTGTAGATATATATTTAAATATATTAAATGATCATTAAGTTTGAGGGGGATAAAGTCATAAATTACATGGGAATTACAAAATTGAGGAGGGGCTGAGAGGATAGAATTGTAAATATACAAGTAAATATATTAAATGTTTATTAAGTTTGGGGGGGGTCAAAATCATAAATTACATGGGAGTTATAAAACTTTGGGGGAGCCACGACCCCCTCAGCTCCCAAGAAGATCCGCCACTGGAAATTACATTAACGAAGTCATATATTATTTGAGTTTTAGATATGTCATGAAATTAGTGCCGCCATCAGTCTCAATAGCAAAACTGAAAGTGCAAAAAGCATACGACATGTATAGACTTTTTTTACCTATTTGGTGTAATTTTAATTGAAATTTATTGATATGACAAATTTTAAAATTTTTAGGAAAATGAGTAAAGTCGTTTCATGTGAGATGAGTTGGTTGTAAAAAAGTCGTGTTTCCCAACATAATTTTGGATTGATATTTTTTTAAAGCAAGTCGTATTACATAAGATGACTTCCCATTTTTTATTTTTACTAAAAGTCGTGTTTGATAGCACAAATTGTGTAAATTTTTTTTAATTGAAACTGTTATTATTTATATTTGGTTGATCCATTTCATTGTAGACGCGTGTCGTAGTAGGTTTTCCTAATTACTCACACTGCATAGGTGGGTCAGGAATAAAATTTGGACGAGTATAAGGAGACTAATAATCTTCATTTTGTATTAAATGAAATGACATGCAGAACATACAACTATAACATGGGATCAAGGTAGTCAGAGAGTTGGAGACTCTCCACAATCACACCATTCATCATGCAATCTGACTGTATACCTTTGTGCTTCATGTTGTGAATTTGATAATTCTTGGACTTCAAACTTACCATTTTTTCTAGTATATCTTTGCACATGGCACATGTCAGTCGTTGTTGGTCTTCTTTGAGAAGATAAAAATCTCTTCTTAGTACTCATGTCCTTCTCGTAAC